CCTCATGAGTACAATCAAGTGTTCAGGAATTTTCATTCTTCTCAATGTTATCCATAATTTGTCATGACACAATCAAATGCCTTTGCATAGCCGGTAAAACACAAGTAAACATCTTTCTGGTATTCTTTGCCTTGAACCAAGATTCATCTGACATCAACTATGATATCCCTTGTTCCACGTCCTCTTCTGAATCCAGCTTGCACCTCTGGAAGTTCTCTGTCAATATACTGCTGCAACCGTTTTTGAATTATCTTCAGTAAGATCTTACTTGCGTGCGATATTAATGATACTGTTCTATAATTTCCACCTTCTGTAGGATCACCTTTCTTTGGAATGGGTACAGATATGGATCTCTTCCAGTCAGTTGGGCAGGTAGCTTTCTTCCAAATCTCTTGGCATAACTGAGGAGTGCCTCCAGCGGGGCATCCGTTTGTTGAATCATCTGAATGGGTATTCCGTCAATTCCCGGAGCCTTGTTTTCGCCAATTACTTCAGTGCAGCTTTGACTTCTTCTTTCAGTACCATTGGTTCTAGATCATATGCCACATCCTGAAATGTATGATTATCTACCATTTCTTTTTGGTACAGTGATTCTGTGTATTCCAGCCATCTTCTCTTGATGTTTTCTTCATCAGTCAATATTTTGCCCATGGAATCTTTCAGTATTGCAATTCGAGGCTTAAATTTTTTCCTCAGTTTTTTCAGCTTGAGAAATGCCGAGTGTGTTCTTCCCTTTTGGTTTTCTAACTCCAGGTCTTTGCACATTTAAGTACAGTAATTGCTTTGTCTGCTCAAGCTGCTCTTTGAAATCTTCTGTTCAGCTCTTTTATCTTGCCATTTCTTGCATTTGCTTTAACAACTCTCTGCTCAAGGGCAAGTTTCAGAGTCTCTTCTGTCATCCATTTTGGTCTTCTCTTCTTATCTTTTTAGTGACTTTTGGTTTCTTCATGGTGATGTTCTTGATGACAGCTCTTCTGGTTTTTGGTCATTGGTGTTCAATGCATGAAATCTATTCTTTAGATAGTTTCTAAATTCAGGAGGGATATATTCAAGATATTTTGGCTCTTGTGGACTTGTTTTTATTGTCTTCAAGTTGAACTTGCAATCTATAGATCCAGTGTAATACCAATCTACATTCCATCAGCATTTCTTTAAGGGCATGGGAAAGCCAGTCACTTAATTTTTTGTGGAAAGGGAAGAGCCCTCAGATAAACAAAGGAGCTCTGGTGGTGTAGTGCCTAAGGTATTTGACTACTAACCAGAAGGCTGGTGGTTCATATCCACCAGCCACTCCTTGGAAGGAAGATTGGGCAGTCTACTTCCATAGTGATACTGCCTTGGAAACCCAAGGAGGAGTCGTTATGAGTCAGATCTGACTTGATGGCAGTGAGTGTGATTATTTTTTTGACTGAAGATGAAGAACAATGTAGGAAGTCTCACAGTCCTCAATCTTCATACCTAGTCTACAGTCATAGTAGTTGAAACAGCCTGGTATTGGTATAAAAACAAAGACTAGTGGAACTGAATTTGGAATCCAGAAATAGATCTGTTCACCTTTGGACTGCTGAACTTTGATAAAGGAGTGAATGAAATCCATTAAATGGGGAAGCGACAGTCTTTCTAACAAATGGTGCTGGCAGCATCAGATACCCATTTGCAGAAAAATGAAACAAGATCTATACCTCACACCATACACAAAAACTACCTCAAGATGGATCAAAAACTTAAATGTAAGACCTAAAAGTATAAAATTAATCAAATTAAAAATAGGGCAAACTTGGGGCCCTAACTTATAGCATAAATAAAAATGCACAAACAGCAGAAGATATACTAAATAACTGGGGCCTTCTAAGTATTAAATTCTTAGGCACAACAAAAAAGACTTCTGAAGTAAATAGAGAACCTATAGATTGGGAAAACATATTTAGCAACAACATATTCAACAAGGTATTTATCTCTAAGCTTTATAGAAAACTCCAGTACCTCAACATCAAAAAGATAAAGATAAAGTTAAAGTTAAAAAATTGGCAGAAGACATGAACAGACATTGCACCAAAGAAGATTTTCAGGCGATCAACAAACACATGAAGAAATCTTATGATCATTAGCCATTTGAGAGATGCAAATCAAAATAACAATGAGATATCATCACACCCCAGGAAAGAAGACAAGGATCTAGAAAGATTGGAACTCTTATACACTTCTTATGACACTTTAAAATAATACAACAACAGTGGAGAACAATATGATGATTCCTTCAAAAGTTGGAAATAGAAATACCATTTGATCCAGCAATCCTATTAATAGGTATATATCCTAAAGAAGTGAGAACCAGGATACAAATAGATATATTCACACCCATGTTCATCGGAGCACTATTCAAAATAGCAAAGAGATGGAAACAACCTTAAGTACTCATCAGTGGAGCAATGACTAAGCAAACTGTGGTACATACATACACACAATGGAATACTGTGCAATTCTAAGGAATAATGAAGAATCCATGAAACACCTCATAACATGGATGCATTTGTGGGACGTTATACTGAGTGAAAGGAGTTCCAGTGGCATAGTGCCTAAGGCATTTACCTACTAACCAGAAGACTGGCAGTTCAAACCCACCAGCCACTCCTCGGAAGAAAGATTTGGCAATATGCTTCCTTAGAGATATTGCCTCGGAAATCCAAGGAGTGGTTGCTGTGAGTTGGAACCAGCTTGATGGCAGTGAGTTTGGTTTTTGGATTTTTGGTATAAAGGGGGGGGTGAATATATATATATATAGATATATATATATATACAGTATGTATGAATGTAAACATATATATACGCGCACACACACACATAAAAGAGCACTAACAGGGGCAAAGTTATGATAACTTCTTAGCTACAACCAAACACCTTGAAGGAGTGAATACCTGGGCCCACAGGTTCAGGGCCATGTTGTAGGGAACATCAAGCTCAGTTAGCCTAACATATTACATCATAACATTGTTCTACATTCCTACTTTGGTGAGTTGTGAAAAGGGTCTTACATGCTTGCAAGCAGCCATCTTAGATGCATTGGTTGGTCTCTCCTCGTATGGAGCAAAAAAGAATGAAGAAAATCAAAGACATATCAGAACAGTTAGTCCAGGGGACTAATCGACCATGGGAACCACAGTGTACACAACCCTGAGACCACACAAACTAGATGGTGCCCCAGCTATCAATGCCATCATCCACTTGGAAAGGGATCAGAATTGGAGATCCTGAATAGAGTTGGAGAAAAATGTGGAACAAAACTCCAAATTGAAAAAAAGACTAGGCTTACTGTTCCGATAGAGACTGATGAAACCCCTGAGATTATGTCCCCTAGTCACCCTTCAGGCCTGGACTGTTGTAGCTTCCAGCCAAACAATAGACAGGTCTACAAGATGAACAATTATACCAGGTAGGTACACTCCTTAGAACAGTCAAACATCAGAGTTCAGAAGGACATCATTTGCACAAGGAGCTACCTCAGAGGGCAGGAATGAATAGGAAAGAAGGACACAAGGAAAAGGTAACAAGGAGGAAGTAGGAAGAGAGCTGTAACATTACGGTGATTATAATCAGTGTCGTGACACAAAATGTTTATGAACTCTTGAATGGCAAATAAATTTACTTTGTGAACTTTTACCCAAAGCACAATTAAATAAAATAAATTTTGAGAAGATTATTGTCAAAAAAAGAAAAGAAAGAAAGCCTCTTTGAGGAGTTTATAGCTCAGCTGAGTGGATAAGGAACTAGTTGCTTTGGGGGAGAGGTAGAGTCAGGGAGTGTGATATGTTTTCTGGCACCTTTCTGGAAGCTGTAAAGATCCTGAGGAAGGATGGGATTTATTAGAAGGATGAGAAGAAGATAATCTGGAGTAAGGAAAAGAAAATGACAAAATTTAGATTGAGGAGGTAGACATGGGCTCATTTGTTGAGGAACCTGTAATTATGGTGAAGGAGATTGGATTTCCTCTTACCTTCTTTCCTCCACCCCTCTGTAATGTGACCATATAATTTGTTCTTCAAAAAGTGGCATACTCTTGAATGAAAAGAAGTACTAAGTTGGATGGGACCCTGAGTTAACAGACGCATTCTGGTGCTGTCCTGGGCCTACATTGTAATTGTGGACATTAAAAAAAAAAAAAAAACAAAAAAAAAAACAAAACATTGCCGTTGAGTTGAGTATACTCAACTCATAGTGACCCTTCCTTGGGTTTCTGAGGTGATATCTCTATGGAAATAGATTGCTTAGTCTTCCTTCAGAGGAGTGGCTGGTGGGTTTGAATTGCTAGCCTTCTGGTTAGCAGTCAAATATATATGTAGAAATAGCATAGATAAATAGATAAGCAGTCTACCTTTAAATTTTGATACTCCTTACTTAAATCTTGATTATACTTATGATATAGCCCTGAGGCAGTTCACTTAAGTTCTCTATGCGCTCATACAGTACTAATAGGAAATCATTAATATTTCTCAAATTTCTCTTTTGTAATATGAGGAAATAATATTGTTGTGAAGATTAAGTAAGATAATAACAAAAATCACAAGTATCCCTGGTTTCCTAAAAATTTTTAGGTTATTGATACCAGATAATAAGGGATAAATTTACATTTATATATTAAAACTTCTAAAAAAAATTTTTCCCCAATAGATGTATCTTCCTAAGTTTCTCACTTAATAATGCCTTATTTTTAAAGTTGATTAGTTTAATTAACATGAGAGAATGACACTTCATGAATTTAGTTTTATTTAGATGAATGAGATAATTGTATCTTGAACCTAACATTTAAAGTTATTTTGTGTTATTTCTTGAAATGTTTAGGCTCTTAGAAAATTTCCCCTCTGTTCCTTAAGAATCTTATACTTTTACTTTTTATTAATTAGCTAAAGATTGTTTAATAATAGCATCATAATACAATCATTATCCAACTTTTGCTCATAAAATTAAAGTATTAATAATCATTTTTGTCTTTTAAAAACCAACAGGTTCGTCATAAGGCATCACAGAAAGTTTATGCTATGAAGCTTCTTAGTAAATTTGAAATGATAAAAAGATCAGATTCTGCTTTTTTCTGGGAAGAAAGAGATATTATGGCCTTTGCCAACAGTCCATGGGTGGTTCAGGTAAGCCTACTAACTTTCATGAATTCATTTTCTTTTTTAATAGGTAGTTATTACTTATAAGAGTTGATTTTTTGTGCTAAAAGTCTTAAGCCTTGTTTACATAGTAACAGTGAAGTTATATTTAATAAAATTTGGTTCCATATGCTTATTTAATGTTTCCAAATAGTATCTTCACATTGACATGACACGTAATAATTACTCAGATTGTTGAATGGAAGCAACTATTACCGGCACCTTTCTCTTTAAAAAGAACTGAATTGGTCACCAGTATATAATTATTCCCTTCCCATCCCCTCTCATGATATGCATAGTGGCATGTAGTAAATTGTTGTATCAGTTAGAAGTATATATACCCATTAACATTAGTTAGAAGTTTATGTTACATTAATGGGACTGTTTAAAAAAGGGGGAAAAAAAAAAAACACATCCAGCAATACAAATTTTGAAAATTCTCCTGCAGTCTTTTATATGTTATCTATAGTGGAAGACAATATTAGGGCTCCTAATTCAGCCTTTGGACTGTGAAGTACAGAATATTTTACTCTGTTTTGACTCCTTTTCCATTATATCCTGTCCCAGCTTTGCTTCTCTGAGTAATTTTTTATATTAATATTTAGTTCTGCACACATTTGAATAAATGTTGTAAGAATAGGCATATACCAACCCACGTTTAGAATGCTTATATGATCCAAAAGTTTTCATATTGTTCTGGCTACCTAGTGCCGCTCTGACAAGAATATACCACAAATGGGATGACCTTAACAACAGGAGTTTATTCTCTTACAGTTCGGAGGCTTTAAGTCTGAGTTCAAAGTGCCAGGCTCTATGGGCTGGGTGAAAGCCCTTCAACCTTGGGGTCCAGCTTTGCCTCCTGCTCCTGGTCCACTGGAGCTAGAGTCGTTTCTTTACTCAGGCAGCTGCTTGCTGCTGAGGCTGACAAACCCAAGGTTGACAAGTTAAAAAAAGGCACAGTCCTGATGTTACCAAACCACACGGCAGGTCATTAATTTAAGTCCATTGTAAGTCCCAAGGTTGGCAGAGCATTTCAGGCTGCTGAACAATGACACAGCTACATGCAGGGTCCAAGCGTGCCATTTGCTTGATACCGTTCCCAAAGCTGCTACTTATATATGGGAAGCAGACCTCATACCCAAAGGCAGCTACTCAGCTGCTCACAGTGGATTCCACCATGGAGTTGATTTATCAGTCTCATCATGGGGAATACTACATCCAGCTGCCCAGCCACTCAACCAGGCCTAGCCAAGTTGACACACAAACTGAACTACCTTGTTTGTAGAAGGCAACTTGGGGGTTAAAAAAATGGTTATATCAATCAATGACTACATAATTTAAAAGCTCATAATTACTGCTTTCTCCTGAGATTGAGCCTTCTATTGCTCTTACCCTCACTTTTTCTTTTTATTGGAGCCAATAAATAGAAATTCTGATGTGGTGCTAAAGCTAAATATTTTGTACCAAATTATATACCCCGAATAATTTACTTGATTAAAGCATGATGGTAACAATTCAGGTATTCTACTCTTAGTTTTAAATTGATTTTATAGTAGCAGAGTCATAGCCAGTCTTGGATAATTATTTCATAAATCAATAATTATTTCATAAATTGGTAGCTTTGATCATTCATTCTGGTAAGTGGACCTTTATAAGAGTTAATAGATATGTAGCAGTGAGTCAACATTGGAAATGTAAAACAATTGAAAAAGTAACTCAGATTGTAATCCTGGCCTTCATATGTTTTCTCTCTATTGGCAAAGGACATTCCATGAACCAGTATATTCATGTATATGTAATATTCAACATTTTGAACCGCCAGCCTTCTGGTTAGCAGTCAAGTGCCTTAGGCACTATGCTATATCTTCTTTAGAGAAACTTAAATCTTTTGCTCAATTTTTATAAATTTAGTTAATTGTCTGTCTATTTATTTATTTATTTATTAAATTGTGATTTGGATGAAACTTTACAGAGCAAATTCACTTTCCATAAAGCAGCTCACAGATACTTTGTCTTATGACATTGACTCCAATTTACCACAGTGCAACAGCTCCACTCCCACTTCCTCCCTATTTGTCTCTTTATTGTTGTAATATATAAGCATTCTTTATATATTCTAGAAACATATAACATGAATAAAGAAAGAAAGAAGCAACCTACAAGAAAAAAGCCATTTTTTTTCTAATAAACAAAAAGTTACATAACACAGATATCAGGTGATGTCTGAACATGAGAGAAGAAGCTTATTGACTTCACCTTTAGTGATTCCTTATGCAAAATTTTTTACCTTTTTGTGCTTCCATGTTATTGGGTGGTGTAGAATCGATTCCTATTTGTGGCGACCCCATATGACAGAGCAGAACTGCCCCTGAGGGTTTTCTAGGCTGTAATCTTTCCTGGAGCAGATTGCTGCTAAGTCTTTCTTCTGCACTGAGTGGGTTCACAGTACCAACCGTTTGGTTAGTAGCTGAGTGCTTAACTTTTACACCACCAGGGCTCCATTATTCATTGCTAGTACATAGAAATACAAATAGTTTTCTTGTTTCCTGTGACCTTGTTAAACTCACTATTTCTTTAATCTTAGTTTCTAGATTCTATTGGATTTTCTAAGTAGAAAACAATTTTGTCTTCAGATAGGCACAGTATTGTTTCTTCCTTTCCAATCTGTGTGTCTTACTACATTGCTGAAACCTCCAGTAAAATATTGAATACAAGTGCTGAGAGAGAACATCGTGCCTTCTTCCTGATGTGAGGGGAAAAGCATTCAGTCTTTTACCATTAAGTATGATATCAGCTCCATCACTTGTCTGTCAGTTTGTTGTACTGTGGTGGCTTGCCTGTTGCTTTGAGGTTGGAGGCTATATTTCAGATACCTAGAGGGTCACCTATGGTGGATAGGTGTTAGTAGAGCTTGTAGATGAAGACAGACTGGAAAGAAGAGTGGAGCCATCCACTTCCAAAAAAATTGACTATGGTAAACCTTATGAATAGCAGTGAAACACTCTCTGATATATTACTGGAAAACTTTATGAAGAGTCGGGAAACATTATCTACAGAATATCAGAAGATGAGTCCCTCAGGTTGGAAGGTATTTAAAATATGAATAGGGAAGAGCTACTTCTCCAAAGTAGTTGTTGTCAGGTGCTGTAAAGTCAGGTCCGACTCATAGTGACCCTGTGTACAACAGAATGAAACACTGCTTCGTCCTGTGCCAGCCTCAATCCTTGCTATACCTGAGCCCATCCTTGCAGCCACTGTGTCAGTCCATCTCGTTGAGGGTCTTCTACTTTTTTGTTGACTCTCCACTTTACCAAGCATGATAACCTTCTCCAGGGAATGGTCCCTTCTGACAACATGACCAAAGTAGGTCAGACAAAATCTGGGCATTCTCGCTTTCAAGGAGCATTCCAGCTGCACTTCTTCCAGGACAAATTTGTTAGTTCTTTTGGCAGTCCATGGTACTTTCAGTATTCTTTGCCAGCACCACAGCTAAAAAGCAGCATCAGCTCTTCTTTGGTCTTCCTTATTCATTATCCAGCTCTCACACGCATATGAGGTGATTGAAAATACTATGGCTTAGGTTAGGCACACCTTAGTCTTCAAAGAGATATCTTTGCATCTTTGCTCTTTAGCACGTTAAAGAGGACTTTTGCAGCATATTTGCCTAGTGTAATATGTCATCTGATGTCTTGACTGTTGATTGTGGAACCAAGTAATATGAAATCTTTGAGAATTTCAGTCTTTTCTCCATTTATCACAATGCTGCTTATAGGTCCAGTTGTGAGGATTTTTGTTTTCTTTATGTTGGTTGAGATGTAAGCCATACTGCAGGCTGTAGTCTTAAGTCTCATCAGTAAGTGCTTCAAATCATCTCATTTTTAGCAAGAAAAGTTGTGCTGTCTGCCTATCATTGGTTAATGAGCCTTCCTCCAATCCTGATGCCACACTCTTCTTCATATAGTCCAGCTTCTCGGATTATTTGCTTAGCATACAGATTGAATAAGTGTGGTGAAAGGATACAACCCTGACACACTTCCTTCCTGATTTTAAACCATGCAGTATCATTCCCTTGTTCCGTTCGAACGACAGCCTCCTAGTTTATGTACAGGTTTCTCATGAGTACAATGAAATATTCTGTAACTCCCATTCTTCTTAATGTTATCCATCATTTGTTAAGATCTACACAATCGAATCCTTTTACACAGTCAGTAAAACACAAGTAAACATCTTTCTGGTATTCTTTGCTGTCAGCCAAGACCCATCTGACATCAGCAGTGATATCCCTCGTTCCATGTCCTCTTCTCAATCCAGCTTACATTTCTGGAAGTTCTCTGTCAGCTTACTGCTGCAGCCGTTTTTGAATTTCTTCAGCAAGATTTTACATCACAAACAATGCTTTAAGATTTACCTTGAAGTGCTGTCAGTGATAGGATAATATCCATACACCTACAAAGAAGAGACCAGTTAATACTACTATTATTCAAATTTATGTACCAACCACCAAAGCCAAAGATGAAGAATTTGAAGATTTTTACCAACTACTGCAGAGTGAAATTGACCAAATATGCAATCAGCATGTATTAATTATCACTGATGATTGGAATGCAAAAGTTGGAAACAAAAAGAATCACAGGCAGTTGGAAAATAAGGCCTTGGTGATAGAAGTAACTCTGGAGATCACATGGTAGAATTTTGCAAGACTAATTAATGACTTACTCATTGTAAATACATTGTTTCAACAATATAAACAATGGCTATATGTGTGGACTTCACCAGATGGAATACATAGGAATCAGATCGACTACATCTGTGGAAAGAGGCGTTGGAGCAGCTCAGTATCTTCAGCCAAAACCAGCCAGGAACTGATTGTGGAACAGACTATCAACTGCTCATATGCAAGTTCAAGTTGATGCTGAAGAGAATTAAAACAAGTCCAGGCCAAAATATGGCCTTGATTGTATCCCTCCTGAATTTAGAGACCATCTAAA